GGCCTATGAATCTGTCCATCAGTGACCTCCAGGCTTGTGAAAGAGTTAAGTGTCGATTTTTGAATCTTTGCATCCCCCACTTCCTTCAGAATTACATTTCAGCATTCCATTATGGCAAGTTTTACTAATGCTTGCCTATGGGGATATGGGTAATGGGACCATCTGACTCTTATCATAATTTGATTCAAACACATATTGCTTTTACATTTTATTTCTCTTTGCCATTCTGGCTTGTAACTGCCAACAGCAGGCTGAAATTTTACCTAAATGAGAGCATTTCTACTCAGTGAAAGAACATTACTCTGTGCCATTTGCTTAATAGTTCACATTACTGTGTAGGGAGTGTTGCATCCTAAGGCCAAGTTTCTGGTACCCGGTTTGTTAGAAGTTTCAAGGGCAACATAACGGCAGCCTTTGCATGGTAAAAACCTTATTGTCTGGGTAAAAAGCTGGTTTCACAGTTAGACTGGAAGTCAAGAAAAATCTGTCTTTACAGTATTCACACATGGGGCAGAGGTAAACAAATACCAGGCTTGTACAGGACCCGTGTGTTAATCATGTCACATAAAAAATATCCAGTATTAATGCCAGTCCTTGCAGCCATGATTAAACGGATTTTCTAAGGGCTGTACTCTGCCAGCCTTATGCTGAAGCAATAACAAGTCTCCTATACACAGCTTGACTATACAGAAATGCCCAGAATAGATCAGGGCCAATGGCCACCTGTGTCCCTAAACTTTTCAGTAGCCACCACCAGAGACATCAGAGGAAGCAGGCCAATTTCATTTTGGCACAAGTAGAAAATAAAAAAGTTCAAATCTCCTACCCCCATCTATTCCTCTAATATCGGTACGGACACCCCTGTACATCACCATGTCCCTTTTGTCTGGGTTTAGATACGTTATGGAGGATATCTTCCATCACCCCAGAAGACTGGATTTATCCATCTCGCATGTCTCTGTAAATAACCATGATGAGAAAGAAACAGCTATCAGTATCTTCTCATCCTAGTAAAAATCACAGTTAGCCACTAGGGCAGTGATTTAACCTTTTTGGACTCAAGGCACACCTCTATAACTTTGTGAATTGAGTGGCACACAATTTCAAAAATTAAATTTATATATTACATGGTTCACCTCCTTGCAGAGGGGCCAGGCAGGGATAAGCCTGAGCCTGTGTCATCTGCTTACCTCCTCCTACCTTAGGGCTCCCCTAGTCAGAAATCATTGCACTAGGGCCAAAAAGAGAGACAATAAAAATGAATATTTTAAAGTTTCTGATACAGAACGTGGGATGCACGAGTTTCAACATAGGCAGACAAGGTTCCTTGGGTGAATCTGATATCTTTTATTAGACCAACCCAAATTTGGGTTGGTCTAATAAAAGATATCAGATTCACCCAAGGAACCTTGTCTGCCTATGTCCTTAGACCAACACGGCTACAACCTACACTCCTGAGTTTCAATATCCCACTTGATTAATATTTTAAAGTCCTAACCCCTTTTGCCCTCAACCCTACCAGCTAATATTTGATAATATTTTCTCTTCTGAGGGGGCTGGTTATTTATGGATTTTCATAAATGCCTTGAATAGGATATGGAAATTTTCAGTTATTCCCAATCTAGAATTAGGGTTGGTATTGATTTAGGGAGCTGGGCATTTTTTAACCACCTATGTATTAGCTCTCTCATTCTAGGTTGAAATTGTTCCAGAAACTGTTTTTATTAATACATATCTCTCTGTACTTCTAAGCAGGTGATACAAGTTTGATCTTCAGCTTCAAACCCTGAGACCCTTAGTTGCTAGGAAACCAACAAATCTAATTTCTGTAGTTCTTATAACACAAAGATATAATTATATAGTGTCTCCTTAAAAGAAACCCACATCATATGTTTCTTAAATTCCCTTTTTTTTTTTTTTAAATAAATAGAAGCTTATTCTATTTGATTCTTCTAGATAAATAAAAAGGATACACCAATAATAAAATGATTGAATATGGTAAGAGAAGAAAGATGGAACATTATTTTATCTGAGTAATATTTCATCTGACTAATATTTCATTTATCTCATTGCAGGAATAAGAAATGAGTAAGTGAACAGCAAGTTATAAGGTCTTGAAATTTACTTCTAATATGGATTCTCAATTTTGTGTTTAATATTTCATTATTACGATTGTTGATCATTTCTGGTTCATGAGATGTCTTGGTAGACAATCAATCTAGTGTCCTTATGAGAAACATTATTCATAAACGTATGTAAAAGGTCTGTGCTTTCATTATAGCATAGCCAGTTAACAATCTATCTATGTATGCCCATCTGACCTTGCAATTACTGGCTTCTCCATATGATGCATTGCAATGGAGTTATTAATTCTACTTCCTTGGACTTTTATTCTTTGGCTTGGCAGGTCTACCAGGGAGAATAACATAGATTCCATTAATAACAATTATCAGTGACACAGTAGGAGCATGAATAACATTTCATTCAAAAAGTGATATTTTGTTCATGGCATAAGCAAATTTAAATACCCCCAGTTTCAGGAAACTCATTTCTTTAATCCATTATATCAAAGAAATGGTGATAGCTTATGCTTGCATAAGAGACGATGAATAAGTTCAACAATATTGAAATATAGAACCGAGATTCTCTGCACTAATTGTCTCATTTGTTCTCAATAAATGTCCATAGAAAAATAGCTATAAATCTAAAAAAGAAAAAAAAAAAAAATCAGAAAGTTAGTTTCCCTGGTTGTCACACAGCTTTTAAACATATCTAAACGCTGGTCACATGCTTCAAGTGTGATTTATACAATTTATAAAACAGGAACAAATATTGATCCAACTCTTAGGCTAACTAAGAGCTTCCAGAATAAGGGATTCCAAAGACCTTTTGGATCAAAAAGCTCTAAGACCTGTAGTACGTGCAAGCAGGGGCAGAACCAGAGGAGATGCAGTGGTGTGATCCCACCCATCTTTTAGATCATACCAATCCCGCTCAGATTCAGCTGGGAACTGTGGTGGCAGTGGCGACAGCAGGCCATTTCCCCCTCCCCAGCCAGTCCCCCCTCTAGTGTTCCCCGACAGCCCAGATACAAAGGCGGTGAAAGAACAGCTCCCCATACAGCTCTGGCTGGAGCAGGCAGGAGCAGCTGTGACAGCAGCAGCAGCAGGCAGATCTAATCAATCAAAACAACCAACTACAAACATCCTAAAGACCTGGAAACACCAAGCAACTGCCAAAACAATAGAGGAAGAAAGGGGGCCAGCCAGATGTTCTCAGGTCCAGCACATGGCCTCAGCAGCTCCTCCTCTGCATTCAGGACATCACAAGGAGCAGGATCCTCCATCATCTCCCACGGCATAAGAATTGTGCCAAGTTGGGCTCCCTCTACTCACCCAGGTGCCAGAACTTGGTACCAGTACTCCACAAGAGCCTTCTCCTGCTCCTTCCTAATGTTTTTATTCTTGTAGACGCCGAACACTTGAGCTACACTGAAGTGCTAAAGGATTAGCATTCAAATTCTAGCAGCGATGCAAGAACTCCCGTGCCATTCAGTTGCACACAGTGGCATTATTTCATCTTTTTTTAAAAAACACCCTAGGAAATTACATAAAATAAATCATAGTAAAATGAAGTTATTAAGGTTAAGTCAAACACGTGAATATTTTGAAATGTCAGATTTACAGTTACCATACTGCCTTATTGCCACTCCCTTTTGCATAGGCGTTATGATACAATCTTTAAACTTCATGTTCATAAACTATGTTTTTCTCCAAAGGCTATGCATACAGCAAGACAGCAGCCCAGGGGGTAAACAGCACACACAAGGAAGCAGAATTAAAGCTTGTGGACAACAATAAATTAAGCCTTTCTTACCTTTGAAGTGCTTGATAATGCAACTTCCAAAATTTGATCCATACTTTCTAGTAATGCAGACCTAAAAATATTCTTTAGGTATTTCCAAACAAGGATTAGAAGAACAGGGCTGAAGTCCTTGTCACTCTTGAGAATTCTCATATTAAGGCCTGATCCTCCTAACGACCATTACTCATACAAGTAGTACTGACAGAAACAATTCCATTGAAATCAATGGGAGCATGTCCTGTTCAGCTGAAGTTTTACCACCCGGGCCTCCCTGATCCCAGGTCAAATCTCAGACAGAACCAAGTAGTTCAGCTGCAAGAGAGAGGGGCGACACCAGCGCCCATGCATAGGCACAGGCAGGGGCATGTGTATGTAGATGCATAACTACCTCTTACTTTCATCACAGCATGCATGTGTATATACATGCATAACTACCTCTTACTTTCATCACAGCAACATTACAGGACTTCAAACATGCAAGACCATGACATCATGCCACAGTCATTAAGCTTTTAAAGACCAGTTGCCACTGGGGCATTTTGACTAATGACCCATATGCTTCTTCAATAAACAAGGTATTTGTATATATAATTATTCCCAGTAACAAAAGGGTAAAGTTGGCCCCACAGTGTCCATACTAGTGATTGCAGTCAGCTCCAGCTAATGTGTCAAGCAAGGGCTTATCAAAAATCTTCAGAAACCTAAGATGACCCAAACTAAGGCAAACGTTTGTGCAGCTAGTAGAGCACTTCCTGATGTAGTCAAAAGCATCACAGACTTCCCAAACTGTGGCCATCCGTTTACAACACTGCTATGCATTCTAGGAAGTGTAGCTGTGTTACTGTTTTAACTGCAGCATTACTATTTTAAGAGATGCTAGGAAAACTGATTTTCTCCCTCCAAACCTTATCTAAAGCTACAAAGTTTATCCAGACTCCTTGCCCATGTTCTTTATTTATCAATTCTAACCCTCCCATTTGCACCCGGATCCAATGGAAGCAAGACTTTAACAGAACAGAGGGTGCTAGAAATTGCTCTAAGCTGATAGAGAAAGACTCAGCCCAGTTTGATGCAGCTACTGCTAATCCACTTAAAGTAAAAAAGTGCATACAGGGCTAAGCAGAAATATACTGTACCTCAGTCACTCCTTTCAATGAACCAGACATGCTTATCCCCTGCAGGAGCAAATAAACTCTACACTAGTATGGCTTTGATTATCTAGCCTTATCATTTGAGTTACTTTCTACAGCTGTGGTGACTAAACCCTTTAATGCACAATTGAAGCAAGGTGCTTATAACAAAAGTATAAAAGTAGCATTGCCCACTCAAAAAAAAAATAAAAGGGGAATTCAGGTTATGTGACTGAGCACTGATGTGTAAGATCATTTATATAATTACACTACCCTGAAAGTATAACACCATAAAAATGACACTTCAGCCACCATTCATTTGCTACTTTAATCAGATTTCTTGAAGTACATCACTAAAAATAAATTTCCTCACGCAGCTGTAAAACGCAAGGATACACATTTATAGCACATCTAGAATGACGTGGCTGAAAATAGCAACGAACAGATTTGTTGTAGGTAGTTCAGAGGAAGAGTTGCTCAGAAAGAGAAGGCAAGTCTTGCAGAAGGTTGGAAAAGAGTGCTAGACTTCTCCACCTGCTCCATCTCATTAGTAGGAAAATAAATATTGCAAAGGCTGCAGGTTAATTACTGCCAACTCATTGGAGCAGGCGTCGCTCGTTAACTTCCCCCTCTGAATACAAGGCAGGTGGGACAAATCACCTGCAGGTACAGCCTGGAAAGGGAAATCTCAGAAAATGGCTTGGATCATTTACTGCTATCCTTGGAGTGCTGTGTTATTATTGAAACCAGACCTCATGTTGTGACTGTTTTTGTGAGACCTCTGTCAACTTACAAGCATCTTTCTGTACTGTGAAGGAAGTGGGTTCCTGTATTTGCTTGCTCAGCATGAGCTTCCAATGAATATTTATAACATGAAATATAGAGCACCAGAAAACATTAATTTCCATACTTTTGCCTCTGCAAAATGCACAGGCTAGAAATACTGAAGGAAAAATGGAACTGCAATGCCATTCTCCCTGTGCACATATCTAGGGCGGTGAGTAAGCTTATGTTCACACTCCCAGGTATAAATCTGCTGAGTGTCAGTAGCAGTAACAAAGACTGGCTTCAGTATGCCTGGGCTTTCAGTACTGAGAGCAAACTATGGCTAAAACCACACACAGTCATAATCCTACCTCTGAATCTGGGAAATTCAAATAAAACCCAACTTCACAGGTGGTTCTCCACACCTGCAAGCACTCAAAAATCCTTAGCAAAATGGAATTACTAAAACCTCTATTTGGAGAATAAGAAAAGTCCCAACAGAGGAGCCTGGATAACCTGTTATGTATTTGCACACAACAAACAGATCAAACCCAACCAGCATATCCACAGTATAGCCAGCATTAATTGTTTTGTTTTGTTAAGGTCCAAAACCTTTACTCGCAAGAGCAGTCTCCACCTAAAGCATTACCAAATTGTTCAAAGGAATCGGGGGGTATCCGGTGCTTCCTTGCTCCAGTCCAGAGAGGTCTGTATCATAGACTTTCATTGATGTGCAGCCACTTCTTTCACAGCTGCTGCAGCACAGAGGGATCCCTTCTGCCGGGACAGCTCAGGCCGCTGCCAATCAGCCCTTGCTGTGAAGTCAGAGCTTCTGGTCGAGCCCAACCCAGTCCACAGAGGGTTTACCATCTCTAGGTGGGCAACCCAGAGCCAAACATGACCCCTGGGCAGAGTTTCTGCTCTACAGAAGTGAAGACTCTTGTTGAACTTAAAGCCAGCGTCCATCATTTGTGCAATTAGGGTGACTCACTCAGGCTGGGGCATGTCTTGCACAATTCCAGGGTCCTTCTGTAATAATTGGGAGAAATCTGTCTACATAAAACCAATGAGATTCGATCATCAGTTTCTTGAAACGGTTGAATCCCTCACTGTGCAATCAGCCAGTCAAGAGCTGACAGGCCCTGTCTCATATGGCCCGTGGTACCAAGAAGAAGCTATAGAATAGAATTAGCCCTTAATCTAAACAACACCACTCAGACCAAACAATACATCTGCTGAGAGGGTGCCTGAGCTGGAAAATTCCTGTT